TGAATACTAAGTTTGCACATTTTCTGCAATGCTTACTGAGTAGCATGCATCTCTGTAAAAGGCTTGATATGTTAGCTGCAAGGATATACTTGCTGAGGGAGAGAGGTCAAAGATGAAATTCCTGCTGTGCTACTTGAAAATCTCCAACCAACTGCCTGGAATTCAGCCTCGCCTACACATTAAATCTGCTGTCTGAGAATCTTTTTGCTTAAGCATGCAGCATGGTTATGTTTTCCTACAGTAAGAAGTATTTTTATAATTATTGTTCACAGCTCAAAATAGCAGAGTTGTGTCAAGGTCCTGGTGTTGCATGAAGCAGGCAAAGCAATGCTATTGCAAATGCCGATTAGTTTGGTTGTTAGCCTAAAGAAAACAAGATCCTTGTCAGCTCTGTCTGTCCTGTTTGTCTATCCACAGAAGCTTTTTTTAAATCAGTGGGCCAGTTTCAGATGAAATTGCTGTAGGTGTACAATTTTTAATAGCCAGGCCCCTGCTACTTCATGATTAAAAAAAAAAAAAGTCAGACAGATGAAGACTTGTCCTTCCCCAAGACCCATCAGCGAGAAGGCATTGTAAATGGAGAAAGTTTCTAAAAGACACCAGAGAATCTAGTTGCAAAACAGTCATGGGAATCTAAGCTTCATAATCCTGTTGGTCACAGAACTACTTCCTAAATACTAATAGTGGAGAGCACCTTTTGTGAGCTGTTGTTCTCCAAGAATTTTGATGAATTAGATGGGGTAGTTACAGCTCTGCCAAGAACACATTCCCTGCATGAAAATACTTTAGATTAGCTTGCTTATGCATTTGAGTACCTTAGTATTGACGCTTACCATTGGCACGGTTCACTGAGTAGAAATCTTAGCTTTCTTGTATTTGATGTAGGAACAGACTGCATATGTAAAGAAACAGTGAATTTCTAATCAGTGATCATGAACTAAATAAATTCACTGGTGTGTGTTCATAAAATGTGATGCTCTTATACTTTATGCTACTAACTGTGAGGAGCTATGAAATTCAATAGCTGATGATAAAGGAAGATGAAGGGGAAGATTTGCAAAGAGCTACAAACATATATACAGCAAACAAATATGCAAAAATTGGTCATCTTTATGAAGGATCACTTAAAGATGTGAGGATACAGGAGAAAAATCTTTTTTAGAAGGGAAAGGGAAGGTGAGGACAAGAATGTAACTCAGACTTGCAGGGAATCATGGACGGTTACAAGACTTCTAATTATCTTACTTCATTTGGAAGTGATCTTAGTGAGACAGGAAGTAATTGAGAATGTAGATTCATTGGAAAGCAAATGAAAGTTGCATTGTTGAGATACTGGAGTATTTTTTTCAGCTTTCAGTATGAAAGATTACAAAGTCAAAACCTCATAGAAGTACTTATCAGTGAAGCACTAATGAGAATTGTGATAAAGATGGCCCTGTGCTACCTAGAAGTTGCACATAATAGGCTTTCTAGGCTCTGAAAGAGACTGCCCTGCACTTGAGAAGCTGCAACTGTAGAATAGCAAAAAGGGGCCATGTGATTCTGAGCTGTCTATACAGAAATTCCAAAGAAAACAGGTGGTTTCTTCTGTTGATGTCCATATAAAAATTTCTGTGTATGTATAGGGCTGCACATATATAAGTATACATGCATACATACAGAATATATACATACATTTCTATGTAAAAATCTATCATCAGAAAAAAAAAGTTAAATTGAAGGGAATATAGGCAAGTAAAACCCATGCTCTCGGGAGAACAATTTTTCTTCAATTTCTGTGTTGAGTAACAGAAACTTGAGTCGAGAGCCTAGGAGGAGGGGGCGGGGGGAAACGCTCAGCAAAGTAAAGGACCTGCTTTAGTCAAGTAAAAAGGGCCTTAGCTAAGAATGGAAATAAATGAATAGTGGCTCATGTGTAAAAGGTTTCAGAATATTTTTGGCAGAAAAAATCAGCCAAAGAAATGTCTCTCTAAAGCGCATGGTAGAATCTCTATCACTTCTCTAGGAGATGCGGTGGACCAAAACAAAAATATTGCCATACCTCAAAGATAAAATGAAGCAGTTCAGAGATTAAGGTTAATTCTATACAAAGACATTTTCAAGATCTCAAGTAATTCAGTTTTCATATTATTCATGTGTGGAAAGCTGCCTTTTGTACTTTGAGAGCTGTGATGGCTGGCAAATTAAACAACCCAATTTTAATAACAAACAGTCTTTATGTATAGTGTATATTAAGGGTAAATAGTGATGGAGTCTCTGCCTCTTCACTGAATATTTTGGAAACATTGTTCAGGTCATATGAGAATGGCAGGCTTTTGACTAAGACTCAAACTTCTGTTTTCCCGGACTTCTGCTGAATGTCTTGTGCCAAATGTCTTTCTCTGTACTGGTTTTCTCAGCTGCATACTCAATAGTATGTGCCTACCTTTGAATTGACTTTTAAGATTAATTTAAGTATCAGAATGATGGGATAGCCTCAAATTAGAGGCATAACCACCGTGTAAAAATCTTTTTTATTTTTTGTTCTTTACTTGTAGGTTCTAGTTCTTTTGAATTAGAAATGTTCCGTAAGGCAAGATTCTCTGAATCCTGTTTTTTAACTAGCAGGCAGTTTTCCAAACTGTTTGACTAGAGCAGAATTGACTGGTGCTGGTTGAACTGGTGGGAGATGTTTCCTGCGTAAGAGTTGTGGTATTTTGCTTCTTCCATGATTGACAAAGTGTATTTATTACTGCCATATTTGATCTAATTTGGGAACTCCCGCCCTTGCTTCTCAGATGGTATTTCTGTGTAGTCAAAGAAATTCAATTACAAGTTTGGATAAAACAATAGGCACTATCCATCTTAACTTACGGATATAGATCTGTGAATAACTGTATCTATATCTGTGAAAAGTGGGTGTAGAGGGCAAATTGCTTGTCAGTTTCAGTAAAATATTACCCTATTTAATCTGTAAAGTAATCCAATTTACCGTAGTATCTAATGCATAATATAATTATTTTTATGCATTTGTCCTCATGAGTAATCAAAATCAATTTACAGAAAATGTGCTTCACTGGCATTTGATTTGGGGAATTGCTTTGCCTCGGGGCATCTAGGTTGCCATTATATAGTTTTGAAGATGTTCTTCACTTTCTTCTTATAGAATGGTTGTATGTTTGCAATTGCAATAAATGTATGAATGTTTGCAATTGCAGTAAATGGCAAGCAATGGCAATTAAAAAAGTCCAGTGATGGGTTGCAGAAGAAGACTTGCGTTTACAGTTTGTACGTGAAGTCTCAGAAGGAAAGGTATTTTTTTACTGCTTAATATGACAAGTAAACCATTGATTCTGAAAACTTGAAAATGCCAGAGTGCTACTATACTTCATACATATTAGAGCTAAGTAAACCAAAGCATGCATGGTCAGATTGACCTTGCTTGCTGGTGTCGTTCATGCTCAACTCCCTTATAGCACAATAGACACATTAAATGATTTATTTTACAACACATCAAAACCTGTAGTCTATTAACTTCTTTCCTAATGTGATGGAACAGAAAGTGTCCTTGTAAAGCTGTAGGTGAATGCTGCTATGTTCTGCTGATTCATTCATATCCATTCATCAAACACTGTTGGATGTGGATTTAAACACTGATCCAAAAGCAATAAGAGTCAAAATAAGTGATTTTTCAGTTGATTACATTAATTTATCACTGAGAACCATTCTCCCTCCCTCTCCAGTTGTGGTGGAATGTGCGTGGTTTTAACGTGTAGCTTGTCTAGGCAGCAGATGCCTGCTGTTTTCTACCTGAAGTGGTGGTTTCTGATACCAGTGGCAGTTCTGTATGCAGCCTCTCCTCAACCATCTACAGGAGTCTTGTGCAATCCTTCAGGTCTTTTAGAATGACTTAGTAGCAACACAGGGTTCATAAATGTCCAAAACCACTTTTTTTCTCCATTGTTTTTCCCTATGAATCCTGTTCTCCAAGGCTATTTTGGATAGCATGCTGCAGCTCTTCCTGTCCATCCCATCTTAGATGTTCAGGAATCCTCTGACTGAGGACATGGTTCTGGCAGCAGCTTCTCTACCTCTTTAGTTCAATGCCATCTGTGCAATGTGATTAAGGTTTCCATCTCGCTATACTATTTGTGTTGGTAGTTGGATGTTATGAATTCTTTTTGAAACAGTTTCAGAGTTTTCCAGCAGGTTGTCTGCAGTCCTTGTCCCCTGGTTGAAATGGATGAAGTCAGGCTGACAGGTTCTGTCTTCCTTGGGTACAGTAATGAACCATTATTTGAAATGAGAACACTTCGTAAATGTGTATAGTTGTGTTCCTGTGTAGACTGATTTGGAAAAGAGTTTGCTCTCAAAAGAAAAACAGGTATTTCTTCAAGCAGCATACTTTGCTGAATGCTTTCAGATGACTTGACTTCTTAAACCAATTCTGGAAACTGGTAATTACTTTGCCTTATCTCATTACTGTATGCAGGAATGTGAAAGTTCTTCTTCCAGGTCTATTTCTCCTCCTCTCTTCCCCAGCTCCTAAACTAAAAAAAAAATAGGCTTTTTGTGTAAAGAAAACAATCTTAGTCTTTCACAGAAAGCTTAAAGTTATATTGGTGTTCTGCTTTTTAGGACTTTTTAGTAGTGAATGAAAGGAAATTAAGATTTGCATTATCTGTTAGAAAAACTGTGTTAAGTATAGTACAAGCTGAAATGTTCCTTTCTTCAGAGATTAATCAAAAATTACCTTTGGTTTATGTCTTAGTATCAACAGTCCTACGCATTTGCTTAAATGCAGCTCAGCTGCTTAGTCTTAAAAGAAGCAAGAACAATTTGACAGGTTGGGCACTTAAGTTTCATAGAGGCCTTTAGAATTCACTTGGTTTTTTTCTAAGGCAATTGGATTAGCGCACAGCCCTTACACTCACTGTTCTGTCCATAATGACAATGCAAGTTGATAGAGCAAGCCAGACTATATAGTAATTTCTTTTTGTTGTTTGCTTCTGTTCGAAAAGGACTAACCAGCCAGGAATGTTCACAAAGAAAGAATTTGATCAGCTGGCATTGGCAATAGATGGCTTCAGTCTCATGACATATGACTATTCAACACCACAACGGTAAGATTCTAATTTTAGTAGAGCATTGCTGAAGGAACTGATTCCTGGTTATGTTGCTATTAAATCTACAATATGAGTTACTTTGCTAGAATAGCAAGTGAGTTTGTCCAAAAAAGTTGGTTACTGAGATTTGTATGTCAAGGTTAATCTACATTGCAATGAGAGCAGTGATTGCAGCATAAATTTGTATACAGTTTAACTTCATTCTAATTATTGCTGATTCCTATGAAGATAGGGTCATGTGAGCTTTAGTACATATTTTATAAATGCATGTGGAACCCTGAATGCGTTCTGAGATATCTACTTCCAATAGACTTCCTCTGTGCTTTTGCTAATTGCTGAAGCTGCACTGTGCTTTATGCTTTGCTAAAATCACATATTCTACTAGCCTTTCTGCCTTTATTGATACCTTAGGTTACTTAGATCTGAGCTTGAGCTGCTAACCTTGTTGTACTTGAAAGGGAGATGGAGGCAGTTTTCAGGTAATGCACTCACTATGCCTGAAATAAGCATAGTTTGTGAGGTATATTGCTTCTACTTTGAGATGAACTTTGGGGGAAAAAAATCGTTATGCTTGAATTTACTTTGTTTGGTCTCAATATATGAAATACAGCTTAATACCTCTGTTCTTCCATAAAATTGTTGCCTTAAATACAAACACGATTTCCAGTGAAATTCTATGTTATATTGGCACATTGTGTTTTAATGGCACAGGTATCCAGAATACTTTGAAGTAGTTAAGTAGTGCAGAGTAAAGAATGCTGATATTTGAGACTGGGAATGTGCTTTTCTTTTTATTGTGGCACTGAGTGTTTACAAGGAAGCCTGGTTGCCTTTCCAGTGAACATAGGAAGGGAGAGAAGATGATATCCTGATTCATTGTATATACAAAGTTCAACCACTCCAAGTATGCTGGCTAGGCTCATGTTGTGAATGGAGCTTTTCTTTGTCACTGAATTGACCGTTTAGGGTTTTATACTAAAAATGTCCAAAAATAAACCATTCAGTTGCTAAGTAACCACTTAAATCTGTTTTTGTTTTTTCTTTCTATAAGCAAATAGAAAAGATTTTTGTCCCATTGTGTTATTTTAGGTTACAGCATGGAAAAGAAATAAAGTTCCAGGGTTTTGAATTTATGTGAATTAAGCGAAACTTAGTGTTACGGAAGAAGTTAGATTCTGACTTAGAGTAAGAAGAGACATGTTCCTTGAACTTAAAAATAGATCATGAAGTCCTCTGAAGAATGAGGCAGCATGTTTTGTGCATCAGCAATTCAAGTCCCAATATATATACATTTAATCATCATAGGATCATGGATTAACCTTCTCTCTTTTTTGTGTGTTGTACTTTTCTCTCTGCAGCTAACCTAGTTAAAAAGAGAAAGCTTTTGAGAATGAATGTGCATTCCTTCTTACTGCCAATTCTTTTTGCTAACCCAACAGACCTGGTCCTAATTCTCCTCTTCCATGGATACAAGCTTGTGTTGAGGTGCTAGATCCTGAATCAAAATGGAGGAAGAAAATACTTCTAGGGCTCAATTTTTATGGCATGGATTATTCTGCTTTGGGAGCCTCTGGGGAGCCAATTCTTGGTAGTAGGTAAGACTTGTCTTGATAGTGAGTACTTATGTATCAGGTGTATCCCCAGTGCTAGAAATTCATAGATGTTCATGAGTCATAGACTTAATAACAGAAACGGCAGAAGTAATACATCTGCATATGAAGTAACAACTACTGTCTACAGAGATAAAACTTATTCTCTGTACAGAAATGTAAAGGCGCATGTATTTTGTCAGCACTCCTATGGAAGAACAATTTGTGCATTTTTTTCTCGTTTCTCTCTGCATACTCATGTGTTTAGTTTGTCATCTTTGTGTATAAAATCTTCCAAGATTTTCTTTTATGATGTGTGACAGTTATAGATTCATGCAGTTTACTTATGGATTGGTGTTCTCAGTGTCTAAATCTGAGAGCATTACCTATTACTTGGGAGTTAATTTTTTTTCAAACAGCACTACGCCACCAAGTTTCTTCTGAGCAGAAAAAGCTTACCTAGAGACAAAAACACCTTAAGATAAAAGGAAGTATTCCAAAGATGACCTGATATTCCGTTTTGATTTTCAGAAGAAAATAGCTGTCTAGGTTTTGGGTAATAACCACATATACTAAACAGTGAGTTTCGTGGGAGTATGGTTTGGTTGCAGTACATCGTGCCAGAAGAAAAAAATAAGAAAAAGATCAGCATGGATTTGTCAGTAAAAATAGGTTTGTTCAAAAGTTTACTCTTAATTTATAAAAGAATCTAGGTGAATGGGCACAATCCTAAAGCACAAAAGATGACTACTCTCATATTCATGAAAAGGTTACTAGGTCTGTTAAATGTGATATTATTTCTGTGTGGTAACAGATTGCCTGTGAGGTGTTGCAATCAGAGATGGTAAGTCTAAGGTGAGAATTTTCTATCTGTGCTTTCACTTATAAAAACACTTTGTCATCAGTTGTACCTTTTTGCACTGTCTGACTTACTGTGGCTTTTACTTTGCTGGTATATACTGCGGATAGTTGCTGAATTGAGTCTAAACCTGGTTGAACTTAAAATATGCTTCCAGTGCTATCTACCTAGTGCAGTATATTTCCTTTTGCCAGGGCTTTCTAGGACCACTCTCCATCAGGCTGTAGGCTTTCTCTTTTTCTTAACCCTAGCCCTAGCCTGAAGACCAAAGTCACCACGCCTAGTACTGTCTGAAAAAAAAAATACACTCTTAGCAGCCCTCTGGATGTGATGATATATTTCCATTAGCCTGCCCTTTCTACCATCAGCTTTCCAAGGGTTTCAAGGCCTTCTCTTACTCTTAAACCTAAACCTAGCCTTAACACTGAGGTCAGCATGCCTTATGTTGATTGAACAGCCATTAAACTCCTAGCAGCAGTCTGGATATGATACTGCATTTTCTTTCACTTCACCGTTCTAAGGCTACTCCCCAAGGGATTTTACATGTTCTCTTTTACCCCTAACACCATCCCAAAGCCTATGGTGATAGGGGCTAGCGCTACCAAAACACAATTTTTTTTGCTATTCAAAATATGCTCCTAGCACCATTCTGGATAGGGTGCAATATTGCCTTTGTCAAGCCTTTTGTAGGGCAACTACTCAGGGGACTCCAGGTGTCTTCAGTCTTTTAACCCTAGATATAAACATAATCTTAGTGGGAAACCTAAAAATGAAAAAGCTTAAACAGCTAAAAGCCTCCTAGTAGTAGGCTACTAGTAGTAGTAGTAGTCTGCATGAGGTGGTATATATCCTTTTGCTTGTTCTTTCTAGGGCCAAGCTGCTGTATATCCTTCTTACTGTTGTTTCTAGGACCAATCCCCAAGGGGGCCATGCTTTCTCTTAGCTCTAACCCTACCCCTAACCCTAATGGTTGCCTAACGCCTGTGCTCCATAGGCCTTGTGCTACCTAAACACAAAATATGCTCCTAGCACCATTCAACATAGTCATATGTTTCTTCTCTAAAGTATTTTTTAGGACCACAGTCCATGGGACTTAAGGCTTTCTCTCTGTCTTAACCCTAGCCGGAAACCGGAGGTGCATAGGCAGAGTGCTGCCTAAATGCATAATATGCTCCTAGTGCTATTCCGCAGAGTGTCTGATAACTTCTTTCTGCAAGTGTATTCTATTGCAGCAACCCATGGGACTCTAGGTTTCTCTCTGTGTTAATCCAGAACCTACCCCTAGGCCGAAGGCTGGGTTCCATAGGCCTGGTGCCACCTAAAGGCAAAATGGGCTTCTTGCTTTGTTCTGCATAGTGGCCTATATTTCCTTTCTCAAGTGCTTACAAGGGAAAAACGCATGGGCTTCTAGGCTTCTTTGCTGTCTGGACCCTAAGCATAGGCCCAGCTCTAAGGGAAGGCTTAAGCTTGGGGTCACCATACCTACAACTTCTTAAACAGCCAAAAGTCTCCTAGTAGTAGTCTGGATAAGGTGCTGTATATCCTTTTCAGGCTGCAGCTGTACCGACAAGGAGAGACACATTGGGACCCCCACTCAAATGCCTCTACATAAACATACGGAACATGGGGAATAAACAAGAGGAATTGGAGATGCATGTGCAGTTACAGGGCCATGATCTCATTGCGATTACTGAGACATGGTGGGATACCTCCCATGACTGGAAATATGGCCATGGAGGGCTACAGGCTTTTCAGGGAGGGACAGGGCATGAAGATGAGGTGATGGAGTTGCTCTTTATGTGAGAGAGCAACTGGAATGCATAGAGCTCAGCATAGGAGAGAATGGAGCACAAGTAGAGAGCCTGTGGATGAGGATAAAAGGGCAAGCCAACAGTGGTGATACAGTGGTGGGAGTTTACTACAGGCCTCCTGACCAGGACGAGGAAGTGGACGAAGCCTTTCTACAGGCAGCTGAAAGAAGCCTCCGGATCACAGGACCTGGGAATCTTCTACCAACGTGATATCTGCTGGGAAAACCACGCAGCCAGGAACAGACAGTCCAGGAGGTTCCTGCAGAACATTGCAGATAACCTCTTGATGCAGGTGTTGATGAGCCAAACAGGGGAGGGGAGCTGCTAGATCTGTTACTAACAAACAGAGATGGTCTAGTGGGAAATGTGAGGGTTGGGGGCAGTCTTGGCTGCAGTGACCACGAGATGTTGGAATTCACGATCCTGTGTGGAGGAAGTGGCGCGAGAAGTAGGATAGCTACCCTGGACTTCAAGAGAGCCAACTTTGACTTCTTCAGGGCACTCTTGGAGCAGTCCCCTGGGTCAGGGTCCTTGAAGAAAAGGGAGTCCAGCAGAGCTGGCTAATATTCAAGCACCACTTTGTCCAAGCTCAGGATTGGTGCATTCCCACAAGAAAGAAGTCAAGTAAGCGGGGCAGGAGACCTGTATGGATGGTCAAGGAGCTGCTATGCAAAGTTAATGGGGAAAAAAAAAAAAAGCATACAGCTTGTGGAAGAAGGACCAGGCCACGTGGGTAGAATATAGGTGCATTGTCAGAGAATGCAGATGCGAAATGAGGAAGGCCAAAGCCCGGGTGGAATTAGACTTGGCGAGGGATGTCAGGGACAACAGGAAAGGTTTCTATAAATGTCAGCAGTAAGAGGAAGACTAGGGAAAATGTTAGTGCACTGCTGAATGGGGAGGGGGCCTTGGTGATGGAGGATGGAGAGAAGGCAGAGTTAGTAAATACCCTCTTTGTCTTTACTGCTAAGGCCAATCCACATGAACTGCAGGGCTCGGGGGAAAGAGATTTAAATGGGCTAAAGGAAGACCTTCCACTAGTTAAGAAGGATTGGGTTAGGGATTGCTTAAACTGGCTACTCAAAAATCTATGGGCCCAGATGGGATGCACCCAAGAGTGCTGAGGGAATTGGTGGAGATTATTGCTCAGCTGCTCTCCATCATCTTCGAGAGATCCTGGAGAGCAGGGGAGGTGCCAGAGGACTGGAAGAGAGGACTGGAAGAGAGCCAACATCACTCCAGTCTTCAAAAAGGGCAAGAGGGAGGAGCCGGGCAATTACAGGCTGGCAAGCCTCACCTCTGTCCCTGGCAAGGTGATGGAGCAGCTCATCCTAGAGAGCATCTGTAGGCATACAGAGGAGGTGATGAGGAGTAGTCAGCATGGATTCACCAAGGGGAAGTCATGTCTGACGAACCTCATAGCCTTCTATGATGGGATGACAGGCTGGCTGGACGAGGGGAGAGCCATGGATGTTGTCTACCTTGACTTCAGCAAGGCTTTCGACACTGTCTCCCACAATATCCTCAATGCGAAGCTCTGGGAGAGTGGTCTGGACGAGTGCACAGTGAGGTGGATTGAGAACTGACTGAATGGCAGAGCTCAGAGGGTGGTAATAAATGGGGTTGAGTCCAGTTGGAGGCCTGTGGCCAGTGATGTCCCTCAGGGGTCAATACTGGGCCTGGTGCTGTTCAACTTCTTCATCAATGACTTGGACAAGGGCACAGAGTGCACCCTGATCAAGTTTGCAGATGATACGAAGCTGGGTGGAGTGGCCGACGCTCCGGAGGGCTGTACTGCCATCCAGAGGGACCTGGACAGGCTGGAGAGTAGGGCAGAGAGGAACCTCATGAGGTTCAATGTGGACAAGCGTAGGGTCCTGCACCTGGGGAGGAATAACCCCAGGCACCAGTACAGATGAGGGGTTGAACTGCTGGAGAGTTCCTCTGCGGAGAAGGACCTTGGAGTCCTGGACTCCAGGACTTGGAGTCCAAGTTAACTATGAGTGAGCAGTGTACCCTCGTGGCCAAGAAGGCCAATGGGTCCTCACTTGCCTCGGGATGAGTGTTGCCAGCAGGTCAAGGGAGGTGATCCTACCCCTCTCCTCAGCTCTGGTGAGGCCGCAGCTAGAGTATTGTGTGCAGGTCTGGGCTCTCCAGTATAAGAGGGATGTGGAGTTCTTAGAGCGGGTCCAGCGGAGAGGGACCGAGATGATTAAGGGAATGAAACATCTTTTCTATGAGGAGAGACTGAGCGAGTTGGAACTGTTCAGCTTGGAGAAGAGAAGGCTGAGAGGAGATCTGATTAACATGTATAAGTATATAAAGGGAGAATATAGGGAGGAAGGGGCTGAGCTCTTCTCAGTGGTGGCTAGTGACAG